TCACTGGAGCCCACTGACTCACTGGAGCCCACTCCTTCCCTGCAATGGGCTTCAAGCCACTGGGTGAGCAGGGCGAGGCAGGCACTGTGCTCTTGGAAGAGCAGCACAGTACTGATTTAAATGCCTGGCAATCAATACAAAGTCTCCCTGGCAAGAAGAAAAGGTAGCTAACCCCAACACCTTGGCCGAGCGCCACCTCACACCTTTGCTTCTTGCCACCTGAAATTCCCCTGCTGGGATTTTAGGAGCTTCTTTCCCGTTTCCCACCCTGCCTGTAACGCACCTGTGGCGTTCCTTGGGGCTGCTGGAGGCAGGTTGTGTGGCGTTCCAGAACTTGTTTTCCACTTAAAAATAGGGGAAGCCTTGAAAAGTGAGCTCAGAAATACCAGGAGAGACATTTCTCAGTGCCAGCGAGTGGGAAGTTTTGAGCTCCTGTTCCATCCCCTTTTTCCCTTCCTAGAAAGTTCTTGGACATCTGTTTGTGGTGCCTGTGAGGCATATGGGGACATCATTGGACATTGTTGAGGTGCTGTCTCAAACTCAGGTGCTTTTTGTAGGATCTTTGTAGGTTGAAGTGATGCATGGATTTGTCCTTTTGTAAGATCAGGCTGCTGCAACCCTTCAGTTTGGTTCTGAGTGATGCAAAGGCTATCAGGAGAGATTCCTCTGACATTTGCATCAGTCATGATATTGCCACACCAAAGGGTGGCTCATCACACTTCTGCCAAGGGTTGTTTCAGTGCCCTGGGGGGGAGATGAGTATCAGGGAACAGGAGGGAGAGAAGTTGGTGAGAGGCTCAGCAGAGGCAAGGTTGTGCAAAGCAGCCTGGAGTTCACAGGGTTGTTAACAAAGAGGCATTGAATGGAGGCTCAGTGTTGTGTCAGAGCTCACAAGTGCCTGGAGATCATTTCCAGAGCTTTCTATATGGGGGAGCAAGAACCAGATTTGCAGGTGTGGGAGCCTCGACGTAACAGCACCTCCCAGGAGAGGTGCTGGGAGAAAGGGTTTTCAGGGTCAGGAGCCACCACCTGCCACTTTGTCTGTTCCCTCTCCACTGCCCCTCACACCCAGGGAGTCCAGACCTTCCTTCCAGCCCGCTGCCTGTGCCTCAGGGCACCCCCAGCTCTGCACGGTGCCCCCAAGGCCTTGCACGACCTGGTAAAATATCTGGCTTTGGGATCGTGGGGAAAGGCATCAACACAAACCACTTCAGAGGCCAAGGTGGAGGAGTAGGATCTCAGAGGTCTCCACTAATGAGGCCTTGGCACCAACATGTCTTTGGCACACAAGCTGGGCCTTTTTGGTCCTCGACAAAAAAATAACACCACAAAAACTAATGAATAAAAACGCAACCCAGGCAAGCTGCAACCCATCCAGCTAATCCTTCCTCGTGTGCTGGCTGCCCCTGGGAGGTGTCAGCACGGATTGGTGGGCACTGGGAGATCTGGCACAGGACGTGCCAACTGCAGGATGCATCCCAAGCCTTTTCTCTGCTGCACCAACCACACAGATCGCTCAGCAGGGAAGAACTGAGGCGAATCCCGGCTCTCCACACACACACACACACACACACATCCAGTTTAATATGTTCAAACCTCTCCAGAGGCTGATTAGTGATTTTATTTTCTCCTCCTCTCCCGGCCCAGCGTGCTCATTGCCATCAATTATCTGTGCATTTGCCCTGATGAATTATTGAGTGTGTAACGGGGTGGGGGAAGAGCCACCATCCCAGCAAACAAGTGCTCCCAAAGAGCCTGGCAGCACTTTGGGTTTGCCCTCTGCCTTCTGCTTGAGGGTGGGGGAGCATGGGAAGCTGAACATAAAGAGTTCATCCTGTCTTGCAAAAGAGCCATGAGTCGTTCAGCCACCTGGAAAGGAAACACGATTTCCTTGCAGTGTTTGGGTTTTTTTTCAGGGTATTATTTTTTTGTTTGGTTTGTTTTGTTATTTCTTCTGCTGGGTGTTATTTTCTTTTTCCCCTTTTTCCCCTGAAGCCTCGAGAAAGTTTGGAATGTGTTTTTGTTGAAGCTGGTACATGTAGGGGCCTGAATCCCAGCTCTGGCAGCATTTGGTTGTTGGCAAGCAGTGCTCACTGAACTGGCACCAGCTTTTTCCCTGGCCAGAAGTCTGGCTCTTTACACTTGGGGAGAGGGTTCTGCTGGACCATTCTGGGGTCTGGTTCAGGATCAGCTCCACAATTCACTTCCTCTCCAGTTTATGCCCAGGTCCAGTCTGCGTGGATGCATGGATCCCATGGCAGGGAGAGGGTGGAAGAGGGAGGATAGAACAGGGAATTGTCACTACCACTCAAGGTCAAGAAAAATCACTTGATTTTTAAAAGGGTCAGTTCATTAATTTGCAGGCAAATCACAGCATAAAGGAAGGGCATGGTAATGATTGAAGTGAGGGTGTGGATTGATCTTTCTTGTGCTATATATCACATTCCCTGCTAGGTTGATTGACTATAACCTTATTTAAGGGGCACAGCTTAGGTGCAGTTAGATGTCCCACGAGGGAGAGACAGGCTGTCTGCCCTTCTCCAAGGAGAAGCTGGTGGCTTTCCATCCTCTCCTCTCTGGAGTTCTGCTCATCTCTTGCTCTTCTGGCACCTCCAGGAGACGCTGGGCCACTGCTTCCTGGGCCTCTTTATTGGGATGTGGAAATCCCGGTTCAAAGGGATGCCCTGGGGCCTGTGGGGGGTCAGGGAGCTTGTGTGGGAGCAGAGCCAGCTGTGCCATCGCCCCAGCCCCGGGCAGGCTCTGCCTGGGGGCACGAGCCCTTCATGAAAGGGGTGCTGATGAACCTGCTCTCCCCCAGCCCTGGGAGAAGGAGGGAGAGCTGAGCACACCTCCAGCCAGGCAGTGCTGAGGAGGGTGGGGGGCTGTTCCCAGGGCCCTGGCTACGTGCTGGAATCGCTCCCCAGCAAGCTCCCACATGCTCTGGGAGGCTCTGAAGGGTTCAGAGCCAGACTTTGCTTGGCAGAGCTGTTCCTCACCTCCGCGGGTGTGGGCAGCGCTGCAAGAGGCTCGCTCACCTCTGGGGTGCAGGGAGCAGCATATGCTGCAGGGCACGTTGGAGACGTGTCCCCCCTCCCCATCCACCCATTCTTCCCTCAAATCCCAGCATGACATCATCTAAACCCAGCCCGTGCCCTCATTTCATCAGGAAGGACACTGTGGGCACAGACCAGACTGGTGTCAGAGAAGTCCTTCGCTGTGTCCTACTGCTGGGACATCCTCCAGTGGAGAAACATGATCCAGATATGACTTTCTCAGAGCAGGAACATCCCTTCCCTCTGGTTTCTGGAGGGAAAACAGTGGCAAAGAGTGTCCCTGGCTACGCTGGGAGGGGAGAGGTGCACCCTGCCAGCTGGGCTGAGCCTCAGAGGACTCATGCATGCAGGCACATGAGGGCACCACTGCTTTGCTGTGGCTGTAAAGCAGCTCTGGAAAACATTCCTCAGCACCCAGCTGCAGTGCTGGGGTGTGGGGCAAACCAGGGCTTGGCTCAGGGAAGGGGGCAAGTCCACACAGAGCTCCGGAGGCCGAGTTTCGGTCGGAACTGCTGCTGGCTGTGGTCAGCTGGTGGCGTCTCCTGGCCGGGCTGGGCTGTCGAGGCTTGTCCTCGGGGTCACAGGAAGGAGAAGGGGAGAGGGAAGAGGCGTAGATGAGATGTGGGGATGGGGATAAGCCTGAGAGCAGCAGGCGTGGAGTGAGGGGGCAGCGTGGAGCCGGCGTGTTTGTGGGTGGGAAGACTTTTGTCTGCCTGCACTGTGTGTGTGTGGAGTCCTGCTCATGTTCTCTGGAGGAGTCCCAGGTACCCCCACCAGGGATCTGGGGGGGCTGACACTGAGCAGCTCGTTCTGGCCTGGCACAGGGAGCCCATTCATCCCCTGCAGGGGCAGGGTAGGGTGACATTTCACTTAGAAGATGCTGTCGTGTTTCTCTTCCTGGGCATTTTTCTTTCCCCAGCTTCTCTCTCTTTTATTACCCCTTCATGTTGCTCACTCTTTGTACATCTTTCTCTCTTTATTATTCCTTTCTCTCCTTTACTCTCAGGCTCCCAGAATACATCCAATTACAGATTCTACCAGAAGCAGGGAGCAAAACCTGCTTTTCTTGTTCTTACCACCTCGCTTCTCTGTTTTATTTATCATATAAATACTGGCTGTATAATTAGCAGAGTATTATCTCTAAATATACAGATTGGGAAAAGACACAGTAGCAGCAGAGATGAATTTCAGGGTCAGTCTGGTGGGAGACATTTTTCTCCACCTGTCAGGGGAGGAATCAAGAGACAGAAGAACTGTCATGAACTCCAGGCACCACTTTTCCCAGGCACCTTTCATCTTTACTGCACAGAACCAAGATGGAAGGTTCCTAAATTCTGCCACTTTGGGGTTAAAAAAAGGCCACAGAAATGATCTAGATGGTGCAGGTGAATGGTGCAAGGTGTACAGGCAGTGCTGTAAAGTGATTCTTGTATGGAAATTACTGCTGCCCTGAAATGAGGGCTGAGTCTTTGCTGCTCCTTTAATTCCTGATGCAGTTCCAGTGGGATTAAATGGATGTGTGAATGTGTGTTAGCATATGTTAGGATGTGCTATGCTGATAAATATCAGCCCTTTAACATGCCTCCAGACACACATGCCCTGCATATTTACCATAACTAATCTGGTGTCACCCAGAGTTGAAGGCAAAAGGAAGGAAAGCATTATTGATCCAAACTTCTGGTGATCATGAGCCCTAGTTTGGCTGATTGTGGTAAAGAGTGAACACCAGTTGTGGGGAAGAAGGTGTTCATGAACATCTGAATGAAAGGAATGAAGCTGCAGATGGGTGCAGGATGTACTGAGAGCCTGCAGCCATAGACCGTCCTCGTGTCAGCCACGCCAAGAAGCAGCAAAGGGGATAAATAAAGGATTTCATGAGCCTGATGTGCCATAACCTTGCTTTCCTCTGTCTGGGATGTTCACACACGCTCACGTTTCCATTTCCTTGCAGGGCTGCAGGCTCAGACCGTGCTGGTCAATGACACCGTGTCGGGGTTCATCGGCACAGACGTGGTCCTGCACTGCAGCTTCACCAACCCCCTCCCCAATGTGAAGATCACGCAGGTGACGTGGCAGAAGGCCACCAACGGCACCAAGCAGAATGTGGCCATCTACAACCCTGCCATGGGGGTGTCCATCCTGTCCCCCTACAAGGAGAGGGTGACCTTCCGGAACCCTTCCTTCAAGGATGGCACCATCCAGCTCTCCCGGCTGGAGCTGGAGGATGAGGGGGTTTACATCTGTGAGTTTGCAACTTTCCCCACCGGCAACCGGGAAGGGCAGCTGAACCTCACCGTGCTGGGTAAGACTTTGGGGGGTGAACTGTTGCCTCCAGTTCAGCTGATCTGGAGGAACCTGAGACCTGTGTCCCGGGGGCTCAGGGCAGAGGTGAATCTTTGGGTGTAAATTTTGCCTGTGATGATCTTTCAAGTTGACTGGGAAGAGGTGAAGAGCAGGGAGCCCAGGGTAGGTGGTTTGCTGAGCTGTCACACCTCCCCTTCTCCCCAGACCTCAGGTTCCCTTTTCCCCCCACCTACACTCTCAAGGCAGGTGCATTAACAGTGGCCAGTTCCCTGTGGGAGTTTTAATGAGCTTGTAACTGTCCAGTGAACAGAGAGGAAAGACAAGAGAGAGATCCTAAGCACAAGCAGAGCTTGTCCGTGGAGCTTGGGGCTGGGAAGGAACAGACACAGCCAAGGTCTCCATGATTTGTTTGCTCTCCAGTTTCAGTTTCTCTCTAACATAGGGCTGAAAACCTCTGGCAGGAAAGGATTGACTTCCCACTGTGTATCTGTGCATCCAGGCCACCTCCACCGTTCTTTTTTCCCCAGAGGTGCTGCAGCTGGATGGTGCAAGGTGTACAAGCACTGCTGTAAAGCAACTCTTACAGGGGAATAATTGCTGGCAATTATCCTGGGCTCGCCCCAAGGCCTGTCACAGTGGTGCTAGATGTCTCTTGGGATGCAGCAGACAGGGTAGCATTGGTTTGCTGACCGTCTCTTTATTGATAAATTGTAATTGTACCCTTTTCTTTCTGCCCTCCCTCGCAGCCAAGCCCACGAACTGGATGGAGGGCACCAAGAGGCCGCTCATTGCCAAGTCTGGCAGGACAGAGAAGATCCTGGTGGCCACCTGCACCTCCTCCAACGGGAAGCCCCCCAGCACTGTCACCTGGGACACCAAGCTGAAGGGGGAGGCGGAATTCCAGGAGATCAGGAACAGCAACGGCACCTTCACGGTGATCAGCCGGTACCGGCTGGTGCCGAGCCGGGAGGCCCATCGGCAGCAGCTCATGTGTGTGGTCAACTACCAGCTGGACAGGTTCACTGACAGCATCACCCTCAACGTGCAGTGTGAGTGGGCCTGGGCAGGGCCTGGGGCAGGGCAGGGGGCAGGGCTGGGGGCAGGAGCAGTGCCCAGTCCCTGCGGTGGGTGCGGGATAAAGTCTGGGATAAAGTCTGGCAGAAGAGAATTTTCCAAAGGGAGGATGTTGGTGTGGTGGAGGCTGCTCTCTTTTTTTTTGAGAGTGAAAACTGAAGTGATCCCTTGGAATAATCATATGTTTTCTCCTTTTCACACCTTCCCTCTCTGCCTCTGCCATGTCCCTTTTGCTCCCCTCCCTCACATTTCTTGTCCTGTCATCTTTGCCTCCTTGCAATCTCTCTCCTTCTCCCACCCCTGCCCCCTCATCTCTTCCTGTTTCATTTTCTCCTCCTTGCTTTTCCACAACTCTTTCCTTTCCTTTTCCCCCTCTCCTCTCCTTTTCCCTACTGCTTTTCTCTCTCTCCCACCCCCCCCTGCAGACGAGCCAGAAGTCACCATCGAGGGCTTCGATGGCAACTGGTTCCTCAACCGCAAGGATGTGAAGCTGATATGCAAATCTGATGCCAACCCCCCAGCTCACACCTACGAATGGAAGCTGTAAGTGCCTGCAGTGCCTCTGCTCTCAGCAGCACATGTCACCTTCCACCAGGGCCAGGGAGCCTCTGCAGACACCTCACTCACCCTCTGGTCAATTAGGGCCCAGTCCCATTAGTGTCAGCGGTGTCACTCCAAGGCAGAACCTGTGCCTGTGATGAAACTTGCAGCCAGCAGCACTGCAGCCTCAATATCCAGCAAAACTTCCTGTTCTCACCTCACTGGAATAATATTCTGCCCTGGTGACGTGAAGCAGCTGAGATGTGACAAGGTGATTAATTTGCCCAGCACCACCAAGTGCTTCGGTAGCAGAGCTGGAAAATAATCCAGGATTTCCCTGCCTTAAAGGGGCACAAATGGCACAAAATTTGTCTGTGTGTGAACAACCTTTCCCTGGAATCAGCTCCAGGAGGATCCCCACGTGACTGACATTAAACAGAACCAATTCCTCATCCTCCAGGGTTTCAGCTTTTGGCTGAAAACACTAAAGAGACATGAAAAGTGAGTGAGGGGTGTCTGGGGAGCCAGATGGGAATTGATACAACCTGATGTGATTCTCTCTGCTGCTCTCTCTTTTCTATAAGCACTCATGTAACTTTAAAAGAGAAAGATCAAATGGATCCTTTCTTCTTTTCAGCTGGCATTTGTCATCAGGAAAGAGGCTCTCAACATGGCTTTGCAAGGAGCATATTCTCTCTCATTTCACTTCCCAGATCAAACTGTTCAAAGGGAAAGTCTGAAGAGGATTGTTTTTCTTGCCTTTCTTCCAGTCCTCATCCCCAGCTCCCTCCATCTGTTGGTTCTGCCAGGCTGCCTTAAACTCCGAGGGGCTCTTTGGGCTCCTCACAACATTTCCAGGAAAGCCTCAGAGGCCAAGATGCACCCACGGCAGAAAAGATGCCACTTGAGGCTATTTCTGTGCTCAGATGTTCCTCTTCCCCTTCCCGGAGGTCAGGAAGCAATTACTGCTGCTGCTGTTTTACTCCTGCCTGGAATGTAAAACCCAGCAGTGCTTTCCTCCCCTGCCATTTGGATGGTGATGAGCAACAGTCAGGGGAGCTGTCAGAGGAGGAGATGGCCTTATTTAGCATCCCACCCCACAAGATGTGCCCTTGTCTTTGTAGATCCAGGGCTCTGTGGGGACCAAGGTTAAGGTGTTCTGTTCTTCCATCAGTTTTGGGATCACTGGATTGGTGTAGTTGGGAAAGACTCAAATGTTTGCTGTACCTGTGTGCCTATGTGTGTATGTAGACATGCAAAAGAAGTGCATGTGCATTTAGGCACTTCTATACAATCCTAATTATGCCCCCATTATTCCCTTTTGTTTCTTACAAATTGCTGACAATATGTGCACATTTGGGTTGGGAGGAGGGGAAGGAATTACTTGAGTAATTTTTAATTGCCTAAGAGAAGTAATTACTTTACTTTGCTTCAGTAATTAAGAATAACCAGGCCATGTGTGTCTTTTCCTAACACACAGGGGCTTTTTTTATTTTTTTTTATCTGCCTTTGTTCATTTATTCTAGTTTTGCATTATTCCAGCTTCACACTTGCTGTTCTGACGTGGGCAGGTCATAGATGGCAGGGCTCTAAATCAACACCATTCTTTTAGAGCCTGAGTTGCAATTAACACTGGCTGATCAGCTGCCCAGGAGTGTTACATGGGCAGGAAATTGGAGCAGAGCAGGGTCAGGTTGTGTCCTTTTCCTGGCTACATCAGTGGGTACCTTCCAGACAGCACCACCAGCTCCTGGACCTGCCCAAAAGCAGACCCAGGGTGTCAGTGCCACTGGGTGTCATCTCTGGGGCCAACCACGCTCTTTGTCCCCCCTCCCCAGGCCAAACGGGACTCTGCCAGGGAGTGTGGAAATCCAGAACAACACCATCTACTTCAAAGGGCCCGTGTCCTACAGCGTGGCCGGCACCTACGTCTGCGAGGCCACCAACGCCATCGGCACGCGGTCGGGCCTGGTGGAGGTCAATGTCACAGGTAGGACAGCACCTGGTGTGCTCTGAACCACAGGGACAAGGAGCTGGGGAGGGGGAGTCACCTCTCCCCAGTCACCAGCATCTCCTTTCGAGGGTGGGGATGCAGAGGGGGCAGCGGGTTCTTTGCTCTGTTCTGGTTTTGCGCTGGTTTGCCTTGGATTTTCTTTTCTCCTCTCCTCGTGTTGTCTTCTCCTTTCTTGCACCGAGATGTATTCAAATTTGTTTCCCCCTTGCCTCCTGCTTCGGATTCAGAGAGATCACTGGGTGTGTTAAAAGCACAGACACGTCAGGGAGATGTTTATTGGGAGGTAGAAGAAGGGGTAGGATGAGGATATGGACTGCAAGGCGTGAGATGGATGAGTCATTTGTGCAGGATGATGTTTGGTGTTTCTGGTGTTAGGTAACTCATGGTTTTTCATTTGAACTCCTTCCAATGCCCTGTTGGTCTGTGCACTTGCTCACCTGCCTGATTTCTGAGAGGCTGTGGGCACTGGAGTGGCTTTGTCTGGGCTCCAGAAAGGAATAACATCCCAGGGTGCAGGCAGTGGGACAGTGGTGCTGTGTGATGTCGTATGAGACAGAAGGAGTTTGATGACTTGCAAATCAGTGTAGCCACAGGAGTGAGGAAAAGACGTGTGGAGAGGTTTAGGCAGTGTCAGGGAGAGAAAGTGATGTCAAGAAATAGTTGAAAAAAAAGCAATACCATATGGCAATAACCTCATTTCAGAGAGTCAAAGGGACATTGCGAGGCACCACCAAAGGGGAAAAGTGGCTGTTGGTGCTTTGAGAGCAGGAAAGGGAAGTTTGTCCCATTCCTTTGGGTAAAAGGAGTGATTTGGTTTGTCAGTGGGTTAATGGCAGGCAGTGCTCAGCTGTGGGTCTCAGGAGAGCTGGAAGTACCTCACTGCAGTGAGGTCTGGGCTGCAAACACCCCGGGGCAGCCCAGGTGCCTGTGAGCTGGAGGGGGCACTGGGGGCTTCCCAGGGAAATACAGGACAGGTTCCTGGGGTTGTTAGTCCTTCCTGCTGCCCACCCCGAGGCAGTCAGAGCCCTGCTGTTCTGCCAGCAGGCACCCCTGGGAGCCACCCCAGTGCCTGGGGAGTTGTTTAACCTGAGTGTGATGGAATGGGGTTCTCAGGGGGGCTGAGCCCCAGCCCCCTCCACCCGCTTTCTATGGTGGTAAATGCTGAGCAACCATAAATATGAGCCCAGGGCAGCTAAAATGAGCAATAACTCTGTGTTTGGCACCCTCACCACCTCAGTTCCCCTCTCTGTAACATGGGTAAAACCAGGCTAATCTTCCTCTATCCAAGTGCTTGGAGGTCAATGGATGGGATGTGCTAATTAGATGCTAATTACCCGGTATTTATTTATGATCATTATCACTGTAGCAGGCCTTTAATTCACACCTCCTGTCCTGGATCCTTGCCTGCTGAGTCGTTCCTGGTACATGCTTTTCTCTGGGGGCTGTTTCCACAGCTAAAGGCAGTGGAATAACAAAGCTCTTGGTGCCCAACCCTCCCAGCTGCCTGAAGCCAGGGGAAGGTCATGGCCAAAATCAGCTGCTGGCCATGCCATGGGAGTTGCCACCAAAGGCACAGCATTCCTGGGACAGTGCAGGCAGTGCCTGGCACAAACTGAGCTGACTCCCTTCGGCAACAGAAATCCATCCCACGCAGCGACTCGAACTCTGGGGCACGTTTGGAACAGTGAGCAGAGGGCAAAAGCCTCCAAACTCAGCCCCCAGTCACAGAGAAGGAGGTGGAACAGTTCAGAAGACTTTGAGACTAACGGGCTCTCTGCACCACGTCTCACTTTCCATTCCTGCACAGCCTGTGTGTCCGTTCCTCGCTGCCATTCTGTCTGTCCAGCCACCCCGTATCACCTGTGGTGTCAGGACACGTGTTCCCAAACACCACACACACACAGCCTTCTCTTGACATTTCCTGCTGCCACCTGGCACTTTGGGATGTGTCTCAGCACCACAGCAGCATTGCAGCCCAGGTGGGCTGCACCAACTCACCAGCACAGGCACGAGGGCTCCTCTGGGCACGAGGGGCTGTGGGTTCCCCCTCTGGCTTCTGGAAGTGTCTCCCTTCCTGGTGGTTTTTCAGAGGACTGGTAGGGCATTGTTCTCACGCTCCATCAGCACAGAGCTGGCAAAGGAAGCGGGGACTGGCAGGATTTTGGGGTTTGGGTTGGTGTCTGCCTGCCTGTAATCTCAGTTTGTCCCCAAAGCTCCGAATTGTGGGGTTGAAGTTAAATGAGAGGGAATGAAGGGCACACCCATGGCTGCCCTGGCAGGAGGGATTAGCAGCCAACCCAGTAGGCCAGGCCTCCACCACATAAAAAAAAAAAAAAAAAAAAAGCAAGCCTTTAATAATTCATGGGATCTGAATATGTTTATCCAGCTCTCCCTGAGGACCGATTAGGCCAGTGCTGGGGAGGGCTCAGCCCTCCTCGCTCAGCTATTACAGGTACATTTGTTTGGGTCTTGCAGGCAATTTAGGGATTGTCAGTGGACCACGAAACCTCTTTCAAGAGCTGCATGCAATAAATGGAGTTCAATCTAGTGAGCAGCCAGCCTTGGGAGAAAAAAAAACAACACAGAAGGCTGATGCAGAGAAAACCCTGCAGCAGCTTTTCCCCCTTCTGCCTCCCTGTCTCCCCGCTCCTGCCACCCAAAATCCTTCCTCCAGGCCCCAGAGAGGAGGAGGGCAGGGCTGGTTCTGGCCCCTGATGGGGAGGGAGACTTGTTCAGAGGGAGAAGGCTGAATGCTTCTGTGAGAGTTATAGCACATTAAAGAGATTGATAAGTGGAAATTTAATATTTTATTCCAGCAATCTGTTCCTATAATAGCTTCCCCTGCCTTGCAGGACCTTTGTCAGGCGTAGCCAAGCCATGTAGTGTGACATGTAACTCTTTATTGCAGGCGGGTGGGTGACATAATAAAAGGCTGTGGTTGGAGACTGCCCGTGTGTGGGGTGTGGGGGTCCTGCACAGGGGGCTGGTTGGGGCCAAACACACCTCTATGACCCTAATTTGTATCTTGGCCATGGACACACACAGCTGTGTGACCCCTGTGTGCATCCTGGCCATGGACACACACGTGTGTGACCCCAATGGAATCCTGGCCATGGACATACACAGCTGTGACCCCCATTTGTATCCTGATCATGGACATACACACCTGTGTGACCCCACTGGCATCCTGGCCATGGACATACACACCTGTGTGACCCTGATCCTCATCCTGGCTGTGGAAATGGGCTTCCCAGAGCTGCCTGCACAGAGGTGCCCTGCTGCACAGTCATGTGTGTGTGCAGGATTGGAACACCAGTACATTTGCATGTGTGTGTGCATGTATTTAGGAACATGTGCTTTTCTGTGTGCAGCAGAGCATGTCCACCCCCTGTGCATGTTTGTACATACATATTTGTGTGTGTGTGTGTGTGCAGGGGACGTTCACCTACTTCTGTACTGGCTTCAGCACAAGGAGAGAGATGTTAAACCATCCCTTCTCCTCAAGGACCTTCAGAGGAGAGCTGGGGGAGCAGGGAGAGGCTGTGCCAGCCCTGGCCTTGGATGTGCTACAGGCTGGGGGGAAGGAAAGGCTGGCAGGGGCTGATCACACCCCCCCTGTTTGCTTGGCTTGCAGCAGGGAGTTATTTACACACCAGCAGTGATCTCGTCCCAGCAAGGTCACTGCAAACAGCCCCTGGGCTGGCTGGAACCCTCTGCCATGCAGCAGCAGGGCTTTGCTGAGGCTCAGAGCACACAGGGAAAGCCCTTTCTGGGAAGTCCTAAATCCCAAGCCTGAAGCAGGTGCTCCCAAAGCCACACCACCGGCCAGGCAGCTTTAAGTGGGAGGATGTATGGCCTGGGGGGGCTGCAGAGGAACAAGCCTGGGGGGTGTCTGTCTGATTACAAGCCTGGGGGGTGTCTGTCTGATGCTAATCTTCCGGAGTGTCTGCTGCTGCATCCTGTCTGGTGGCATCTGTGCCAGCGGGAGCAGGGCTTGATTGACAAGTGATAGGTGACCTGACAGAGAGATTAGAACCTAAGACACGTTTGGCATCTGGCCTGGAAGCTGTCACACTCTGAAATGCCAGTGGCAGCTGCTGAACTTCTGGATTAGTTGCCAGTGGTTTTTCCACACCCCCGACCACCTCCTCTCCCTCCATCTGCGCGAGGAACCCCTGGAAGGGAGAGGAAAGGCAGGAGCCCTTGGAGCTGGAGGTGGGCATGCAGAGGTGCAAAGGGGAAGGCAAAAGGGCAGCAGTGCTACGGGCTTCTCAAATTCCAGGCTGAGGCAGGTCCAGAGGTATCTCCTTATCTTCACTCGTGTACACAGCACGGGGGCAAAGTCCTGGGATAATCTGGCGTGGACTCTTCCGGGCAGGGTAAGTTTGCCATCAGCAATCTACCTCTTAAAAACAACACCCACATAGTCATTGTAGTGTTTGCTGAGGCCAGCTGGGAACTGGGAAGCCCCATGAATCCACTGGAATTCAGGTTCCTGCTCTGTTGCAGCGGGTGTTTGGTTTTGCAAGGTAGAAGGAAATCCAGAGCCTTCCTCTGGAAGAGCTTTGTGCAAGGAGCAGCTTGGGCTGACACATGTCCAGAAGGTGATTTCTCATGGAGTTTGACATTTTCCTCAGTGCCCATGGCTGCAGGGAGAACTTTGGCTGGTGCTGGGTTTTTCCTTGGACTTTATGATTGAAGGCAAAAGGATGGAAATGTGCCTTCAAGAAGAAACGTGTCCACAGGAAGTAGAATCTTTTAAAATATCCAAGCAGTGTGATGAGCAGGAGGGCTTTTGAAAGCTGGTTTCCCGTGGATCTGCATATCACAGAAGAATTACTTGGTGTCTAAAAATGTACTTTTTCTGATCTGGGCCCATCCTGCCCTTTGGGAGCAGCCTCTTGTCCCTTCTGGGTTCTCTGATGTCTAATGAGGTTTAGCTCCCACCTCTACCAAGGATCCCTCTCCAGCTCTCACCAAGAGCTTTATGAGAGGGCTAATTTTGGTTCATTCTCCTTCTGTCAGATAGCACTGAAATCGGCCAGCAGGTTCAAAAGGCATTAGATGTGGGATTGATGGGCAGGTGGGATGATTTGCATGCGCCTCATTTTTATTGGAAGCCAGCCACGAGAAGAGAGACGTGATTTTTAAAAAGTCTTTATTTTCGAGGCTGCTCAGTGCTGGGGAGGGTTTGTCCCTGCAGTGGCTGCTCTGCTGTGCCCGGGGGGTGCTGCAGGGGGAGGGCAGGAGGTGCCTGGAGCCGGGGATGGAGGGATCAAAGAGAACCTGTGGGCTCGGCCGGGTGCCAGAGCGGAGCCCAGCGTGACCCCCCGGCGTTCCCAGCTGCTGTCCCAGAGGTCCAGCTCCTGGCACGGGGACAGGAAGCTGGGCTGAATGCAACAGCTGGCAGAGCCGGGCACGGGCAGATAGTGTTGCTGCTTTAATTCCTATTCATACAGCACTCCCTCTTTTTATGAGGGCTGGGGGGTGGCAGGCGGGGGGGGAGGCTTTTTATGCTGGCATTAAAGCCTGGCTTGTTCCCCCTCCCTCTGCTCTGCTGTCTCCTGTTTCTCCAGGCCGCTTTTCACAGTGGCTTTAATTCTCTCCAGGCTCTTCCTAATGGATTTTTCACATGGGGGCCCCCAATCACGCTCAGGCATCGCACCAGTTTCCAGAAATTTCACGCCCCCCTTGGACACAAAAAGAGGGTTCCTTTTCCCACACTTGCCCCCTCTCTCTGCCCAGGCTGCAGCGCTGCTCTCTTTGCACCCCAGACACGAAACCGAGTGGGCAGAGGGGTGAGTGAGTCCCCCTCTGTGGGGGCTGGAGCAGTGGCTGCATGTGGAGAGGTGCCCACTGTGAGCCAGACCTGTCCCAGTCATTGATTAACCCGGGAGCTGGATGGGGGCACCGTGGCAGGGACCCAGGCACAGCTGACACGCTGCTCCCCGCTCACCACCTGCCTTGGCACCAAGGCACCTTGTTGCAAGGCAGAGGCATAGCCCTGCCTGGGGAATGCTGCTCCCTTCCCAGGGAACACTCCTCCCTTCCCGGCTCATCAGCCAGAGCTCATGGTGAGGGTCGCCGGCAGTGCCCACCCTGCTGCGGAGCCAGCGCCGGTCTGTGCCGCCATCCAGTGGCAGTGCCGGGCTCTGGAGTGGCCAGGACCCCTCCTCCCTGGACCACTGACCCCTCGGTTCTGCCTGTCCCCCCACCCCGGGGTCACCCACCTTCCCCATGGCACCCCCAGAGCCCCCCGTGTGTCCGGTCCGGAGGGATGCGCTGGGAGCAAACCGTGCCTGAGGAAGGGATGATTTCGGCTGCTGGCTTGTGATCTTCCCCGTCCTTCCTCTCCCTTCTCTTCCCACAGTTCGGGTTTGTTTTCTCTGGCATGGGAACTGGGCCACTGCGAGGAGGATGGGGATGGGACGGGAGCAGAAAATAGTTCCTTCCCCGAGCGACGTGTGAAAGCCAACACGGCGGCTCGTGCTCGTGCTCGTGTCCACGGCGTTGGCAGTGCCAGGGGGGTGGCACGTGGGCGGGTGCTGTCTCAGGGGTGGGCAGCACGAAGGGCAGGAAAAAATAAATATCTGTAAGAAAAGGTAGAAAAACATCCCTCTCTCCCCCTTTTCGCTTCGCACGGCCAACCTGGACTGCTAATGAGGCTTTTGAGGGAAAAGTGGGCCAAGCTCCTTCAGGGATCGGGCACAGAGTGCCCCTCTCAGATCTGTGTTCCAGAGCAGGGAGGCAGAGGGACACTACACACCATGTCTGGGTCTTCTCAGGGTGGATTTTGGGGCCCGTGGTCCCATGCACACCATCAGCCTTGCTGCAGGGAACAGCAGGGCGGGAGGAGGCTTCGGATCGGGGCTGTGGGAAAATAAAACAGAGAGCCCCTGGGGACTGAGCTGCTTGCCGGTCTTTCCCTGCTCCCACTCAGCCTCCAGGTGGTCCCTGCTTTGTGCAGTTTTGGGAATTGGGCACCACGGGCTTGCAGAGGCTGTGAGGGCAAGGAGCAGCCCTGGGAAGTGGCTTGGGCAGGGGGAGAAGGAACAGTGTGGTTGAGGCCGAGCCCTCAGCAGCCAAGACCATGAGGGGATGGACGTGACTTTTCCTGCTGTCCCTGCAGAGAGGTTTTGCATTAACCAGCTGGCTGTGACAAGCCTTCTGTTGATGCAACATGTGGTTTTGGCTTTCCAGAACCCAGCCCCAGCTCCCTGTGCTGAAAGACATGCCCTTGCTGCTGCTCCAAAGGCTGTCTTTGGAAAAATGCTGGCTCCTGCCTGCACAGCATCTTGCTCCTCATTGTGGCTGCAGCAGGGACCCCTCCATCTGCCTGTCCCCAGCCCACTGTGCCCAGTGGGCTGCTCTCTGTGTGGGTTCAGCCTCATGAGGCTTTGCTCGAGGCAAGGCAGCACTGCAGGGACCAAGATGCTGTTGTCGGGTTGGCGTCTCAAGAAAGGCAGGAATAAATCAGCTTTCAGGCACAAAAAAAAAGCCCCATTTATGGATCAGGCCAGCAATTGCTCAAACTCAGTGCCCTTGTCCAAAATCTGCAGCTGTTTCAGGAACTGCCTCTGTTGGGGGGGAAAGCTCTTTTCTCCCCTCTTGCTCAGCTGCTGGGCTAAGCTGTGCTGCAGAACCCCACTCCCTGCCAGCAGGGACGTGAAGAGGGGTAGGAGGCAGACACTGCCTCATATCCCTTTGGAATCTGCTCCTTTGAGCCCCTCCTTCCCCATCTCCCCATCCTGGCTGCTCTCTGGGAGGGCACGTTGAGATTGCTGCTCGCCCTGCCCCTCTCCTTGGCTGCTGGAGTAAAAAGTGAGGGCCAGGAGGCTCTGGAGCAGCACCAAAGGTTTGCAGCTCAGAGCAGGGCTGGCAGACAGGCCTTGGGGTGGGAAGAGCAGTGGGAGAGGTCTGAGCCTGGTGTGCAAGGGCAAGGCTGCCACGGGGCATTAACCAGGCGCCTGCTGTCTAAATTCAGAGGCAGGTGAAGGACTGAACAACCATGTGGTGCTTAATGCCTCGTGGACACGGGTGTTCAACAGGCACTGTGTGAAAGCTGAGTTTGGCCAGGGGCTGTAACTGTGCCCAGGGAGCTTCAGGAAGTTGATTCAAGTCCTGGATCAAACTTTATCTGTGCCAAAGTGTAGGTGTTGAACTGCATGAAAGGGAAGAGAGCTGCTTTCTCATCTCTTTTTCTCTTTCTCTTCTGAGTTATTTATTTTTTTTAAATGGGTCAGGGTAACTGTAGGAACAAGATTAGCATGAGTAGTGGCACTGGGCTGGCCATGGAAGACAAAGCAGCAGTGGGAGGTCTGTGTCCCTGTGCTGCAGAGAACAGTCACCAGGGTCAGCACACGGGGTCAGGAGCCAGCAGGACTCTGAGCAGCCACACAGCACTTGTGGGTGTGTGGGTGGGAGATCACAAGGTGCTGGTGCCTCCTGCTCTGGACTAAACTGGTCGTGGTCCGGGCTGGGATGCCAGGAGGGGGATGCCAAGCTGGCAGGTCCAGCGTGGCACCTCCAGGAGCAGTTGTGGCATCTCGGTGCCCACCACTGGAGTGGGCTGTGGGTGTAGCTCCCCCCCAGGAGCACTCTGGGGCTGCCAGTGCCCTCTGGGCAACCGGAACTGGAAAAATGTCACCCGGTAAAGCGGAAAAGCGTCCGGACTCAAGACACTGGGCTGGTGGGATCTGAGCACGGCCGGAGAGACCAGGTGGGGTGGGGAGGGACAGACACACTGCTTCCAGCCCCCGGGGCTCCTGCATGAGGCTTGGCCAGCTTGGCACGGCACGCTGCGCTCCCCTCGCTAAGGCAGAGCTGACCCCCGTGAGGACGCCCCTATTCCCTTTTCCCTAGTTTTTCCCTTCCCTGTTCCTTACCCTCATCTTCCCACCCCCTCACCCCCCCCTCCCCTCCCCAAACTGGCAATGAAAGCATGGAGGGAGGGGCGCGTTTCCGCATGGTTTGACACTGTTCCCCCTTCCATCTGTCTTTTCCTACCCAGAATTCCCCTACACCCCGTCTCCAATCGATGATCACAAATCCATGGTGCAGCCGAACATCCCCACACCGGTGATTGGGGGCATAGTGGGCGGCGTCTCGCTGGTCCTGCTGGTGGCCGTGGTGCTCTTTGTGGTACTCCGGCGCCGGCGTCACACCTTCAAGGGTGACTACAGCACAAAGAAGCACGTGTACGGCAACGGCTACAGCAAGGCCGGCATCCCACAGCACCACCCCCCCATGGCCCAGAACCTGCAGTACCCCGACGACTCGGACGACGAGAAGAAGCCGGGCCCGTTGGGCGGCAGCACCTACGAGGACGAGGACGAGGAGGCGGGCGGCGAGCGCAAGCTGGGCGGCCCCAAAGCGTACGAGGAGGACGCCAAGAGGCCTTACTTCACCGTGGACGAGGGGGAGGCCCACCCCGAGCCCTACGACGAAAGGACACTCGGCTTCCAGTACGACCCCGAGCAGCTCGACATGGCCGAGAACATGGTGTCGCAGAACGACGGGTCTTTTATTTCCAAAAAGGAGTGGTACGTGTAGCCTGGCACGGCCAACACACACACACACACACACACAACACACACACAACACATACACACACACACGAGTGATGCCCTCCTGCTCCCCTGCACCCCTCGGAGCTTGCACACCCGCGCTCCCCCCTGCACACAGACACACACACGCTCGCCCCCCCGGCCAGCCCCAGCACAGACTTTTGGACACTTCCAGCACTGGCAAGGAAGGGCTGGGGCAGGGAAAGGAGGGGCAGCTTTGCTTACAGATCGGTTTTTTTTTTTGGGGGGGGGGTGGGGAAGGCATTAAAGGGAGGCGGGAGGTTGGGTAATTATTTTCTCTCTCTCTCTCTCGGTTTTTCGGTTTTTTGTTTTTTTTTCGTTTTCGTTTTTGGTTTTTTTTTTCTGCTTTTTAATCTCTCGACGACTTTTCGTCCCCTTCTGTGGTGTTTGTATTGGTCGGTGGCTTAGGTGTTACTCTTTGCTTTAAGGACTGTTGCCCAGCCTGTATATTACACTCTGTTTTGTGTCTTCATGTCTCAGAGTGCCCTTCGGCCCCACTCCCCTCCCCGAGGGTTCCTCCTCCCGCTCCCACACCCCTGAAACACTGGAATTTGTTTGTATGTTGTCTTGTTTGTTTGTTTTTGACCTTGGGAGGCGGGGGCTGTCCGTAGGACAGAGGCCAGGAAACTTTATGGCAATGGAAACATAGGTGCCATTTTATCAGGTGAATGGATTTGGTTTTTCCCCCTAATCACTTGGGGTTTTTTTTCTTCAGTGGGGTCTGGGTGACATTCCCATTGCCTGCTGCACACCTGAAGAGATCCACACCCAGTTTTTAATGACTCAATAAAAGGAAAATGAGGAGAAAGGGGGGAAAAAAAAGCCCTAGACCAAACCCCAGGTGCACGGGCTGATAGCAGAGCAGGGAAACAAAACTGCCATTTTCCCTCCACAATTTATTATTTCCTGGCTTTTCATTTTCTGTCTTTGTCTGAGTGTTCTTTTAAAAGAAAGAAGAGGAGTATTTATTGCTGACATTTTTCCCCCTGTGATGGCTCAGAGAAATGCTGGCTCTTTTTGTTCTTGTTGCTGTTGTTGTTGTCAGTACCAGCCACAGAGCAGTTCACTGGGGGCACAAGTCGGGCACACACCGACTGGGGAAGGGACCAACCGAGAACACTTCACTTCCACACACTCACTGCCTTCAGCTCTGCACACCCTGGCAGGGCAGGATCAGCCCCTGGCTTTGGTTATACCACTAAGACTTAATTGTCATGTGTTTACACTTTTTTTTTTTATTATTATTCTGGTCAGAGCATGGGGGTGCTTCTTCTTTCTCTCTCCCTCTCTCTCTCTCTCTCTCTCTCCTAGCAACAACCTCAGCCTTGGCTGTACCACATAGTTGGCATTGATTGCCACTTCTTCAATATCACATCCCTCTTCTAAGCACAGGCTTGGTAGACAGGGTAGGAGTGATTGAGCCTGGGGTATTGATCTCGTCCTCCTTCCCTTGAGCCACTGTGTTGTGATGGGGAGGTTTGGATTGCTGCTATCTCTGCTCTGTGGATAAATGGGATTCCAGACTTCAGGGCCCTCTGTCTCACACCGACCGTCTCCAAAATTAGATTCACTGGGTTGGGGCTTATTTTTCTTCTTGTGGGTTAATTTTATTTTTTTTTTTTTTAATTTGATGTATAAATAAATCTTTGGTTTGAAAAGAAATCCCCAGTTTTCTGAGCTGTATTATCATGCACATCTAAAAATAGCAGGACTAATTCTCCTCCTGCCTTACCCGCTGGGTTTTGTTCCATAGCATCCAGTGGTTTATCCTGCTACAGAAGGGAGGGTGGAGAGGCAGACCCACACAGATGAGTCAAGGTCAGATCTCTGATCCAGGCAGCTTCCAGTGCTCCCCTTCACCATGTGGTGCTTGGTCCAGGCCACATGAAGCTCAGCCTGAGCCATCCACAGTTTGTCCCTTGCTCTGATTGCGTTAGTGGGGAAGGGGAGTGGGAAATCCAATTGTTGGACTGCAATCTTCCTGCTGTTCCTGCCAGCCCCTCAGGCTTCCTGGCTTCTGGCAGAACAGCCACATGCCACAGGAAGGCTGCTTTATGTCCTCTGGAAGGCAGGGCAGACAGAGATTCCCTTGAGGTCTCTCAGGCTGAAGCTTAAAAAAATGAGGCTAAAACCTTCCTGGGTCCGTCCACTGCCCCCAGGAGCACCCTGCTAGCAAGAAACCCCCCAATAAAGGACATAAAATCTCTTAACATATCTCTGATGACTAGTAGGGGCTGGTGGTTAGGAGTGGGAATGGCTTCCCTCCAGTGCCTTGGGATAGCAGCATGTACAGGGCTTTAATTCCCCCAAGGAATCTGTAATCTGGAGCAGGGCAGGGCAGCACAGCTGAGGGTTGTACCCCAGTCACAGCTCACCCCAGAGCAACACAGGGTGTGCTGCAGAGCCTGGAATTCCCAGCCAAGTCCTTCTCTCAAGTGAATAATCCTTTAGGTCTGAATTTCACAACCGGGCTCTGAACAGGATTGTGACAGTGTCCCCAACACCAAACTCTGGGTGGTCCATCACCAGAGTGCAGTCAGTGGCACAGACCCTCCTCTGCAGATTTCCCCCAGCACAGACACACTCTGTGAGGGGATGGGTTTGGAAGAAAACAGCCTTTTATGAAATCTGCAGAGTCCAGCAGTGATTCTTCATGTTCTTCATTAGTCACAGGCAGGGGCCACTGCTCTGAGCTGGCAAATTCCCATTGCACTGACCCCACAGGGAAGCTGTGCCCTAAAGAGCAAAGGCACAAAGCCTGGCAGACAGAGCAGAAGGGCCTGGGAGAGAACAGGACAGTGGGGATGTTCCCAGGTTAAGGTCTGGCTTTCAGGAATCATGAACAGGGAGTCCTGAGCAATCTGCTTTGGGGAGTTATTCCTTTGCATTTGGAGGTGTCATTTTTTGACATGGTTTATTTGCTGCCTATTCACACACTGTCCACATGGTTCACTGAATGGGGCTCCAAAAACCAGGGGAAAGGAAAGGAGATAGTGGAGCAATGTGGGATTTCCAAGCTCGTTCCCTTCCTGCTGCAGCACATTGTTTTCCTCCCCAATAGTGCACCAGCACAAATGTAGGACTTAGCTCAGCCACTTACCTCGTCACAGTGGTTCAGAAAAGGGATCAAATGATTGTTTTTCATCCAGAACCTGAACAAGCCTGGAGTGGAAGATCCTTAGGCAGCGTTGCCTGGCCCAGCAGTGAGGTGCCCTGCAAGTTCAAGGTTCAGGAGTGCATTCCTCTCATCCTTGGGCCCTCCAGCATTGCTCCCTTGGTGCAGTTATCCCTGCAGCCATGGAGAAATGCCACCTCTGTGCTGTGATTTGCTTCCTGCTGTCCCCTGCAAGGTCAGCTAAATGGCCAAGAGGCTCTTGGGGTGGCAATTAGCCAAGTGATTAGCCATTAATCCATAAAAAAAGGCAGAAGGAGAAAGAAGTGTGGGGGTGGAAAATCAGATTGATGTTCCATCTGAGATCTGTTTTGGTGCTGTAATAGCATCACTGTCTTCTCTGGGTTAAATTGCTCTGAGGGAGCCCTTGAAGGTAATTAGATCAGGTTTTCCAGGAAGAAGGTGGTACCTGTCTCTACCTGGGAGCTCAGGAGAGCTGCCAGATTGAACAACACGTGCTTCCTGGGGGGTTCTGCAGGGCAGGGAAGGTGCTGGAGACCCTGCAGTGCTCACCTTGCAGGCACAACCTGCCTGCTGGCCCCGGGGGTCTCCTGGGCTGTGAGGGGGTCAGAGGGGCAGTCTGTTCTTTCCTCAGGGGATGGGGTCACTTGTCCCTTTGTGCCCCAGTTTCTGGCAGTGGGCAGATTGTGTCAGGCTGGAGTTTCACAGCTCCCAGGCTGGGTGACCCCTCTGGGACCCTCAGGTGAAAAATCCCCAGCTTCTCCACCCCCCTTTCATCAGAGGTGCTAAGGAGGCATAAAAGGTCCCCGCAGGACCTGGGAAAAGAGCAAGTGGAAGCTTCCAGCTGGGAGAGGGAAGCTGTCCCTGTGCTCTCAGTGCCCAGCCTGTGCTGGCTGCCTCTCCTCCCCGGTGCTAGGGAGCTGCTGCTCTCCAGGAACTGTCCCATTTCACACCAGTCCCATCAGTGGTACCTGGGCTGGCTTTTGTGCCTGGGAAATGCCTTCCCTCTGCTCTGGGCTGGGTGTCAGTGCCTCGGAGCCGTGGCCAGCTGCCCCATCCATTGGAAGGGATCGTTTTTGGGATCCCCGTGCTGGGCTCTTGCCAGTGAGGAGACATATCAGAATGGTGCTTTTCCCCTTCCCAAGCCCTGATCCTGGCTGGCAGCGTGGGGCAAAGCCTGTGGCACCTCAGGACCGAGCTGGGGGTGTGTGGAAGCTGAGCAGGCTGAGGGGGAGCTCAGGCTGAGCCCCAAGGGTCCCGTGACCCAAAACACAGGTGAATTCGGGCTGATCCCCCAGTTCCTTCCCTGTGTGTTTTCAGGGAGCTGTACAAGCAAACCCATCTGTGTCACAACCCAAAATGAGCCTGTGGTTTATGTACAAAGACACCCCAGCTGTTTTCCTGCTGGGGCTTATCTCTAGGATTATTCATTGCAATTCACCCCGGTGATGTTATTTTCCCTTATTTAATTACCAGGTTTTTTTTCCCCCTGTTAAGTTATTTTCATTCAACCAGGGGGAAAAAAAAAATAAATTAAAAAAAGAAACAACCTGAGGATTTCTTCATGAAATAAATCAACAAACTGAAGTGGTTACACCAAATTGATTGCAAAGACATAAGGGACAAAGGGAGCCATTTTCCTGATGTTGAGTCAAAAAGAAACAACAACTGTTCTGCAGAAATCACAGAGGGTTAGAGAGAGAGAGAGAGATTCCAAAGATTGATCTTCAAGCAATTAGAGAAGGGAATGTGATTAGAACAGGGGCTGCTGCTCTGCTTTGCTGTTTTCCTTTCCCATGCACGAGCACACACACACACACACACGCACACGGATTTTTGGGAGTTTTGGGCACCAATCCTTAGGTGGAGGG